GATTGAGTTTCGGTTAAATTTGGTGCTTGAATTTTTTGAGTTGTAGAATTTGATTGAATTGAACCTTTATTTATATATGTGAAAAAAAAAATCAAATACTTAAAATCTTACTAAAAAAAATTTCTATTGAGCAAAATTCTTATCATAATGTGCGTTATCAGAATCCAATTCTTTATCTGAGTGTCTACTATAAAAATTGTCATAGTCATATTCATCCAAGTCAAATTCTTGTGGTGAATATGGAATTAACATTGCTATATTTATTAAACATTGATCATCACTAGTTTTGCAGTAATCTGCTAAACTTTTACGGGATCAATGTCTAGAGAATGCTTGAAGCTCTGATTTGGGAACTCCATTATTCTTTAAAAGTTGAATTGCTGTATGATGACAAGAGTAATTGGTAATTAACTGGTTGTTATCAAGATTGATTCTAGTATTCTTTGCAATATCATTTAATATTTTTCTAAGTTTTGTGTAATCTATCCGGTTACTCTTAAATTAGCGACCCTTTCTTAAATCTAGTATTAAAAAAATTATCATTATACGTATATAGCCTAATAATTATGCATATATATGTATTTACCTTGTTGCCTTTTACAGGTTTTATGAAATAATGGATCCTCCAATAAAGTTGAATCGGGTAGTTTAGATAAATATAGGATAATATTTTTGACCAGGGTATATTGATTGTTAGGTGAGTCAGGAGGTTAAGAAGTGTTGTAAGTAGTATAGATGTGATTTGCAGTTGTTAAAGCATGTTATTGGCTATATTAAAAAGTAATTGTTGGATATTTTTAGTATTTTTTGTGTATAGAAGTATGTGAAGAGTATCTTTGGTTGAAGAGCATTTACAACATTTGTTTGTTGTATATAAATTTGGATAGCAGATATTAAGATTTTGCATTGTTGAGAGATTATTTGTCAGAATTTTGATATAAAAGGTGTATTTATAGGAATTGTATTCTAAAGAGTTAAGTATTTTAAAAGTTAGATTCCAGTTTATATTAGATGTATAGTTGTTAAAAAATTTTAATAAAGATCAAGAAAGGAGTTCTTAAATTGTAATAATATTCTTAATAAAGGTGCATGCTTTAAATAGAATAGTATGGTTATTCCAAAAAAAGTGAGTAGAGAAGTTAAAATATGTATGAGAGATTTCTAAAATAGGTTCATTAGAACCTTGTTTGGCCAAGAGATCGGCTTGGTTATAAAAAGAATTAGTTAAATGTGATTTAACTTTAATAGGCAAGATAGTAATATTTTTTGTAGATAATATTCTAATTTTTGTTTTGAATAAGTTTGAAGGAAGGAGAATCAGTTAAGTTTTTAATTGATAATATGTTATTAATATAGATGCTAACAGTAGCATTTGTTAGTAGAGCAAGTAAAAGAGGAATAATTGCTATTAATTCAGCCCAAGAAGAGTTAGAAAAAGGGTGAATTGCTATGTTAAATTTAATAAATAGGTTGTTTTCACATACCCAGCCTATGTCAGTTTGTATATTTGGAGTTTGGAGGTTTTTAATAGAGGCATTAGATGAAAATTGAAGACTAAGTGTGTTTAAATTTAGAATATTGTTGTAGATTTAGGTTAATTGATTTTGATAATAAGAGGATTTGATAATATAATAAATTAGTTGTATTTTATGAGAAGAGAGATTAATTTGAGATTGGTATAAAGGAGAGATTAAAGAAAGATTTAGGTTATTTGAAATATCAATTATAGCTAAAATTTCTTTGTAGTCAATTTGTAAGCAAGATTTGTTAAACTT